CTACGTCCTGGAAGATTGGATTGGATTGGATTGGATCGTCCTGTGCAAACTGAACTGACTGACTGACCTTGGGCGCTGTGCGTCTATGCCATGGAGAATATTTCCACGCTCGCAAAGTTGCTGGTGTCCGATCAACTTAAGATCAGGAGAACAGCTCAGATTAAGGCGGGAAACATCCTGTCACAAAAATTTGACGATGGTGAGTGATGCTTCTTACTAATACCGTTAGTTGTTCCACATGAAGCTCCATTTTCGTTTGCCAGTTTATACAACTGCCGCTTTTCCCATTTTGATGCGGTATTTCGAGACGTTTTGTTTATTTATTATCCTTATTTAGCTACATATTTACATATTCACCGCATTAAGTTACACTAGTCGCCCCAATGCCTTATATCGACAGAGCTTGGAACTGCTTTTTTACGATAACTGATCGTCTTCCTAGTCATCTCTAATTCATTAATCCGGAAGGGTTTTGGTGCACGAAGTCAAGGTGTGAACGGCCAAATATTGGATCACAGGCTGACTTACCGGTTTATCACCTTAAGCGGACTGAGCAACGACTCGTAACAAAATGAGTTGATGAATCCTATTAACTGGACTCCCAACAATAGACCGAACACAGCGAAGTCAATGATGAGCGTTTGACATGCATGTAAACCTGCAGTATCAGGCTTTATTGAAGCAAGCGCACGAAAACTCCCGGAGATTGTTCTGCTTCCGAGATCATATGAGGTTGCACAACTGGAAAGAGTTAAAAGAGCTTCTACACGCCTCGTCGAAGGACTACGTGGGATCAACTACGAGGGACGACTGCGTTCAACGGGACTGTTCCCCGTGTCATACGGACGACTGAGAGGTGACCTGATCTGCACCAGACGCATCATCCGGGGCGACTTTGTCCTAGAATTGCAGTTGGAATTCCCCCTGAGGAACAACATCAGGGGCACGCACTGATGCTGCTTCGCAAGATGCAGTCGAACGGTCTGCCGCTGATCTATTGCCGAGGAGGGAGACACACCTTGAGCGCAATTTCGGAGGACGTGGTGGAAGAGCCTAACGACAGCATTTTCAAGCTAAAACTCGACAGAGCCATGACGGAGCACTGGTCTGGTGTCAACACCTAATCGATCCAGTGGAGCACATTGAGATGGGGCTAATACGGGACCTCCCACTGCCCTTCGCAATTGAAGATGGCTGTAAAACAAATTAGGATCTTTAAGTTCGAAAAAGGAATGGAGTTCAAAGTGGAAAAAATAGTGTTACTGCACTGCTTCTCCGTAGAGCAGCCAACTTCGCAATACTCAAATGTATACGAAGTGTGTGCTATTAATATGACTGTGCACGTGGATAAGGCAAAAACCAAAAAGGAGTGAATTATCTGTTGCCGTCATTGTGATCAAACTGTCGACACTGTGTTATTTGTATTATTCTAATTTTTTCGATGAAGATAACTGATATTTTGAGTCCACGTACGTGAGATCGGGTTTCGGGCTTGACGAATGCACAGAGGGGTCGTTGATTCCTCACGAATGCGCTACAGCAGAGGATGTACAATGAGGAACTGCAGCATTTAGTGTTGCTCGTAGCCCCGTTCGGCTCGGCAATACAATAATGTTTTCTGCCGGGTGTGCAGGGCCGTCAACACGGAATGGGAATTGAGCATTTTTTTTGGGGGGGGGGCAGGAAAAGAAAGCTAACCTTTATGGTCAACAGAGTACACAGTCCAACTGTGCATGCATACTATTTCGTGTATTCTGCTCTTATAAGAAGTGACAGCAAGATCTCCATTGCTGTCGGTTCGCAGACGTGACCTTTAGTGTCTGCAACCATGCGGTTACCAAGCCTTTTGACCACACCCCGTAGGATGAGGGCGCCTACTCTACCTAATCACTGCATTTTTTCACGGCTCGTCTTCACGTCATCTGTTGGCCTCAACGAGGCTTTCTCCAGGGTACAGCTGCCACCGTAAATAAGGCGCGCTTCGGTAGGCAACCATCAGACATACGCAAAACTTGTCCTAACCAGTAGAGCCTATTGAGCTAAATGCGATGCGATAGCGATTTCCTGTTCGATGCATTCACAAACAACTGACGTCGTACTTCTAGTAACCAACCCGTTCACTCCGTCCCACTTGGACCAGATTACGCAAGCATCGATTGTCGAAAACTACTGGGCGACGGATGTTTGCTATCCGCAAGTTCAAGGTCCCTCAGTCGTAAAGCAGAACTGATCGAGTTTCAGAACAGGGCTCGGTGACACCCAGTCTTGGAGCCTTACTTTGCGCTTTGAAGGCGCGAAGCACATACCAAATGTGGAAACAGCACTTGTTAGTCTATCAGGTGCACCTTGCACATCCCCCAAACATTCGAACGAGCAAATGATGTAGTCACCCTACTCCAAATTGCGCATATTTTCCCTACCTGTCCGTTCAGTACCAACATTCTGCAGCATTTCCTCTACGACGAAATTCAACAAGAAATAAGGCAGCTTTGACCAACACCGCTGCTGGTTATCAACGGCCTACTTAGTTCGTTGTAAACCCTCATACGAACAGAGGTATGTAAATACATTGATCTCAGCAAATTAATGTACTTCTGGAGCATTCCTTTTCGAAGAAAACCCAACAAAGCTTCGCGGGCAACCGAGTCAAAGGCTCCTTTCAGGTCTAGGAACACTGCGATCGTTAGTCGACGATAGGCGTGACGCGGCTCAAGGACCTGACGCAAAGTAACAACTCGGACGGAGATGGTTCGCTCGCTGGGGAAACATCGGAGCTAAGAAACGAGTACCGATAGTCTATCTTTATCTTGTGTTCCTAATGGCCAAGTTTCTGCGACCTATAGCAGGACTGGCCGAACTGCCGCAGCATACACTCGACCCTTCACGGATAGCCGGATGTCGCGACGGCGTCACAGATTTCTCAAGTTAGCAAATGCCAATCGAGCCCTCTGTATGCGAGCTGACACTTCATCCGTGATGTGTCCACCGGGTGAGATGTAGCTGCCCAAATAACAAAACTTAGCCACCTGCTCTATTACTTCCCCAGTTAGAGTGAGGCTGGGTGCTGGACAAACCTAGCCTTGTAGTAACATTTTACACTTTGAAGGTGCAAAACGCATACCGAACACGGCTACACTAGCATTCAAACTTTCAAGAAAAGCTTGCAACTTACTTGGATCTTCACTTAGTAGCACAATGTTGTCTGCATAATCTAGATCAGACAGTCTGCCACCTGGAAGTAAATCGATACCATTATCCTCGCAGTGCTGTTTCCATAATCATATATGCAAAAAAGTTAAATAGAAAAGGAGAGAGGGCAACTCTGACGAACACCACTCTCCGTGGTGAACTCGGGCGAAAAAGTGACGTAAGCCCGGACTCGACTTCGGCTATTAGTACAAAGGGATTGTAATGTTAAAGTTAACTTCTCGGGCACACCTTTCAGAGAAAGGCAGCATCAGAGTCTAGAGCGGTTGATTCAGTACCATGCATATACTATTAGAGCTTCAAACTGTCGACCTATTTAGGTCCCAGGGTTTGGGTTACTTGTTACAATAAGTGAGCA